ATTTTAATATTATTTACTTATTTTAGCTTATTTACTAAATAATTGTGTTGTCTTTTTCTTATTTAAAAGTGATTAAAATATATTGCTATTATGTTTTTATTAAAAGAATAAAAGTAATATTCTTTAAATAAGTAATATCAACATACATTTATTATTAAAATTATAGATTCTTGAAAAATATAAATCTATTTCTCATTATCAAAAATTAATTATCACTACATTTATAATTTTGTAGATTTATATATATAAGATAATTAATGTTAACATAATGTATTTTCTAATTTTCTTAAAAGTTGTAAAAGTTAATTAATATAATTATATATTTAAATAATATTTCCCTATCAATTTATTTAAAAAATAAACTTCTCAAACCATAAGAATCTGGATCTTTTGGAAAACATGCTAATTATTGATTGGCATAAAAATAAAGATTTACCATATTCACCATTCTCCATATAAAGCATGGCTTATAAAAATAAGTATACCAATACTAATCATGTCAAATTATTATTATTATTCATGCCTTCAAAAAAGTTAACAGCTTTTGCGTATTATTTATTCAACACGAACGTCCTTCCTATATCTTTGATGGTTACTCATTACAAAGCTTCATATGGAAACTTAAATATTAAATAGATTATACCAATATGAAAAAGAACTTCTGAGTCATTGTTATAAAATTTAGATAGAATTTGAATAATTTCATCATATGGTTTAAGTTTTTTCAGTTTATGTCTGGGTTGATATAATAAATTAATACATTTGAGAATGTTTCTTAAGTATTAATATATATTAAAATAATTGAATTTAGAAATTCATATACAAGAACCTTTTAAGCACTTTCTTCTCTCTTTTTGTTCTAAATTGCTTTTTTCTCAACAAATGCAAATGATTTTAGAATTTACACTTTCAATTATCCTAATCTATTCTTATAATAAATTGTCCAATTTAGCCAAATTTTTCTTATGTAGTCCTAATATCAATTAACAACTAAAATAATATTTAGGAATAAAAAATTAGAAAACTAAAAAGAATGACAAAAATTATATTGATTATGCTGCTTAATATTTTATATTTAAATTTATCATATCAAATTCAATAATAAAACTGCTATGATGTTTATCAGGAATGTTTAAAGGCATTTCTAGCATCTGACACCAAATTAATCTTCTTTAACCCATCTGTAGGTATGATCTGATTTCAAGTAACAAATAGCATCATCAAACCTATAATATGTATCTACAAAAGGCACACATTTTTATTTCTACCAAACACATAACTCAATTTAAGGATCTGTAAGATTGACTATAACATTTTTGCATTCTTCTTCTTAAAGATAATCTTAACACTAAAAGGGAACACATGATGAGAAAAAGTAACTCCATTTACATGCAGGATTCAGATTTTCACAATATTATAAATTATTAATCTAATCACAAGATGAAATCACTTAGCAAACATCTTTTGAAGAATTAAAATAACAAAAACCTTCAGATCCTAATCTTCCTAATGTACATTAAGACTCTGAATACTTTTCACATGAATTTAAACTTGATACTGATTAGCATATTCCATTTTAAATTGATTAACATTATAATGATTATGCAACACAATCCAGATTTGTTTTTCCATTTAAATCAGTGCATTTTGTAAATGTTACACATTAATTATTCTTCCACATACATTCATTTTATTAAGAACAATGTAATGAATCAAAAATTTCATTGCATTATGATTTTACACATTCATTATTCTAGTTTAATTTGCATACAGGTTTAGATAATGAACATTCAATTTAATTCAATAGTGTACATGAACAAATATTCTTAGGCTTTATCCAATTTATTGAACATGAAACACAAGCGCCTTATGTTGTTTAAGGGCTACTCCAATGATAAGTACCTCCAGTATTTAAGTAACAATTTTCATATGTTTATTAAATTAAATAAGTAGCTGTGGAACAAGTTTTTGTAACATCATTCCAAACACAAATTTAAATATTTGCTTTGTTAATATTCTCAAATACATATGTACAATTATTACTATTCGTATAAGATGAACAATATAATTATTCACACTTACCTGAACTTGTAACAAATTAACAACTTTTATTGAATATGGAACACTCATTAAAATTTTTCAATTAAGAACAACTAGTTAAGACTTAACATTATTAATTTTCATAAGTACAATANAAGTTAATGGCTGAGTTTATATAATAAATTCATACCTTAAAGAATGTTTTCTTAAGTATTCATATATAATATTAATAATAATTAAGAAAATAGAATTTAGAAATATTAATACAAGAAATCTTTTAAACTCTTTCTTTTGTTTTTGTTCTATTTTAGTTAAACATAGCAAATAATTTTAGAATTAATATTTCATTTTTCCCCATAGTTATCTCATGTACTTATAATATCAAATGACAACTAAATTGATATTTAAGAATTAAAGAAAACAAAAAGTAATGAGAGAATTTAGAATTTTATTATGATGCTTAATATTTTAAATTTAAATTTATCATATGTAAATCAATAAAACGATTGCTATGATGTTTATTAGGTATGCTTAGAGACATTACTAGCATCTGACACCAAATTTATCTTCTTTAACCCATCTGTATGTATGATCTGATTTGACATAACAAATAGCATCATCAAACTTATAGTAAGTATCAACAAATGGTACACATTTGTAATTCTACCAAACACATAATTCAATTTAAGGATCTTAAAGATTAACAATAACATTTATGCATTCTTCTTCGTAACGATAATCTTAACATTAATAGGGAACACATTTATTGAAATTATAACTCCATTTACATGCAGGATTCAATTTTTCGCAATATTGTATATTATTTACTGAATCACATGATGAAATGACTTAGCAAGCATTTTTTGTTTCATTAAAATAACAAAAACCTTCAGATCCTAATTTTCCTAATTTGCATTAAGACTATGAGTATTTTTCACATGAATTCAAACTTGATGCTGGTTAACATATTCCATTTTAAGTTGCTTAACATTATAATGATTATGCAACACAATCCAAATTAGTTGTTCCACTTAAATCTGTGCATTTTGTAAATGTTACACATTAGTTCTAATTCCACATACATTCATTTTATTAAGAACAATGTAATGAATCAAAAATTTCATTGCATTATGATTTTACACATTCATTATTCTAGTTTAATTTGCATACAGGTTTAGATAATGAACATTCAATTTAATTCAATAGTGTACATGAACAAATATTCTTAGGCTTTATCCAATTTATTGAACATGAAACACAAGCGCCTTATGTTGTTTAAGGGCTACTCCAATGATAAGTACCTCCAGTATTTAAGTAACAATTTTCATATGTTTATTAAATTAAATAAGTAGCTGTGGAACAAGTTTTTGTAACATCATTCCAAACACAAATTTAAATATTTGCTTTGTTAATATTCTCAAATACATATGTACAATTATTACTATTCGTATAAGATGAACAATATAATTATTCACACTTACCTGAACTTGTAACAAATTAACAACTTTTATTGAATATGGAACACTCATTAAAATTTTTCAATTAAGAACAACTAGTTAAGACTTAACATTATTAATTTTCATAAGTACAATATCCTTCTTATCCAAGACTATTAGCACACAATTGTAAAGAGTTCATACTTTAACATGTTTATAAAAGTGCTCGATTTTGTCAAAATCCATTTAAAGAAACAGGACAAAGTAAACTTTATGATAAACATTATAGTGAATTATTTCCACGTAATTTTGTACATGGGTCTTTTGAATAAATTAATTCTTTATAATCAATATTTTCACAATAACCACCTTAAGAATTATTATTTGAATATATCCAATAGCAAGATGGATGTTGAATACAATAAATTTAATTAAAATCTCCACAATATTTATCAACACAAAAATTTCCTTCCCAATTACATTAAGCAAGCTCACATTCTTAAAAAGATAGAAATTGAGAACACAAACATTTGTTTTTTGGAACAATTACTTAGTGAAGTGGTAGATTACAAGGAATGCAAAAACCGTCTTTAATATTAGAACTCCATCTAGCTGTTTAATCTGTGTTGGTGAAACAAGTTTATTCTGAAAACAAATTATCGGCAGGAACACAAGCTCCGTTGAGCCATGAACATGATTAGATATAATTCCAATTCTATGGATTAATGGAAAATGTGCAGGATTCTTTAGTATAAAAATGTTAGCATTATTTTGGTTTACATCCATTTTAATAATAACAATAGGGACTGCTTTAACACTAATATTGACTATAATACAAATCACAATAATTATTAGTTTACAGCAAACATATATTTTCTTAAGTATTCCAAATACAAGAGTATGATGGTGTTATAAGAAAATTGCAATTTTCTTAACTTAATCCCCAACAATCTTAAATTTCTTCTTTTGAAGCTACTTAACACTTTTATGTATTAGGATTGTAGTAAGGACAATAGAGAGATTAAGCAGCACATTCTTATGAAGTATTAGCCTTTAGATTACTACATTAAGTAAATTACTAACAAGATCCAATCCACATACATTACGAATTTTGAATACATAATGATTATTATAAATTTTAGCATGGTAATTATTAGCAAGAATTGGTTTGAGTATTCCATAAACATTACAAACTTTGCATACAGTTTATTTAAGATATTAGTTAAGAACAGCTACACTATTTCGGATTTGGGGGCTAAGGAGTTTGACAACTCAAACAAGCATTCAAAGTTTAACTCCATCTAGCACCTTTATTAGTGTTAGTTTAACAATTATTGGAATTTAGTTGAGTCATGTAATTAGTTGGTTATGTGCATACATTTGTTGTTGAATTCCACTAACATGGGACTGGAGTATAAGAATTAATTGAACTATAATAAAATTAACAAGTTTCATAAGTTTAGAATTATGAGCAACTTGCAGGTTGACAACTAGTACCCCAATAACATTATTTTTTAAATTATAAGCAATCTTCTTAATTTTTTATTTATGTGCATTTACTCAACACTTAGCAAAAGTTACTTTGCCAAAAACAGATGCCATCACTACCTAAAACATATTAACATTAATTTTAATTCAGATAGGATTAGCAAGCTTATAAATATTATTTATCTTGACAATTAGTTCCATCACTTGCTGGACAATTAATGCTTTAAACTATGCATTCCGATTAAGATGCTCCTTTTAATAAATTACAAGATTGGAATGTTAAGCATTGATGATCAATCCAAAAACAATTAGGATTAGATACACAAGATGTTTAATTAGTGATATTTTAACATTAATAAGGTAAACAATATCCACCTGACCAATAACCACTTTACCAATAACAATAGGACATTTATTAGCATTATTATTAAATAAATAATTAATAACATTTACATTAATTTGGAAGTTCTAAAAAATTTTAAATTTGCTATTAGAATTCGATACATTTTATACACTTTGATCCTGTCCATTTATAAGTATCTAAGGATATTAATTGACATTATGCAGCATCTAAACTATTTACACTATTGAGGTCTTAACATTATCCATTTTACCAAACACAGGGTTGAACATCATTTGTATACAATTTTGGAATTGTATATATACAATTATTTTTTAATGAAATCTTATTACAAGTTAATTATTGACATCTACCATTTTACCAGATGCAGGTATATCCAAATCTATAACATTGACGCTATTGAGTTATTTGTTGACATTTTTCAACCTATTAGCATTGATTTCCATTCCAATAACAATATCCTAATTAAGATTAGCATTACTATAAGTTATAAATATTACTACATGAGTTATCTGACAAAACTTAACAATTATTATTATTTAAAATCAAACAATTAAATGAGCTTTCAATACATTGTTGATGACTAAATGCTACAGGACAACGGTAGAATGTTGAACAATAAGTATTATACCAACTACATCCTAAATTTTAAAGACAGGATAGCTAATCAAGTATTTAATTGCATTCTATTGGATTACATTCACCATTTGACCATTAGCAATAACTTGATGATTGACATTGTTGAATAAGATAACTAGAACATGAACATTTATTATTTGGTTGATATTTATTAGTAATACTACATGGAATGCATGTTCCAGTAGTATTATTTGCTTAAATCCAATAATATGTTGATAAAGTCTTATTTGAACAATCTTAAGAAGTTAATTATTTTGCACTTTCAATTGACTGACAAATTCCATTTACATATTAGCATGGCATTATTGTTTATGGATTTAGGTCTAAGATGATATTGGTACAAGTTGATTAACTTGTAAAGTTGTCACATTGTAATTGTACACATTGATTATTTATAGAATTCCATTAACAAGTATTTTTCCATTATGTACATTAAGATTATGATTATAATTATGAACATGATGTAGCTGTTTAGCATTATTATGTATCATTTGAAAAAAAACATAATGTTCCTTGATAACCAATTTATTCAGGTGTACATTAATCTTGATTAAAAAATTAACATATTGGCAATTCATCTAATGACAAACAACTTGTAGAGTTATAAGTAAATTAGCCGCATTGAATATTTTATTAAGTGCAGGATATATTTTGATAGGTTAATTATGAACAAGAAGTAAATTATTAACAATAGCTTCCATTCCAATAACATTCAGAAAAATTTTGAAGACAAGTTTCTTATGATTGTAATTATTAGCATCCCTTTCGTAGACAAGCTTGAGAAGTACTATTCCAATAGCAAGTTTAATCGCTTTATAAAGTTCCACAAAAATTTTGACTAAATTACGAGCATTCGCATTAATTAGTAATTTAGATTGTCAATTATGTTCCACATATTGCTCCAAAAGCAATGATGATCAATGAAATGATATTTTTTATCATAAATATTAATTTGATTATTTGATTTAGTCATCCTTATTTAGTAAATCTTATTACTTTTATATTCTATAATGTTGAGAATAATAAGGAAAATATGCTTAATAATTGTTATACTTATATAAAATTTATTTAATGTATCTATTTAGCTATATTCCCAAGGCAGATCCAATATTATAATGTCATTCTTGCATATATTTTTTTTATTCTATAAGATTATAATACTCTGCAAAATGGATTATTAATAATAAATAAATTTGGGATTAAATTTATTTTTTTATAAATTTAATTTTGAAATGAAGAAAATTTCATAAAAAGAAAGTTATTTTAAAGATTAAAGGGAGTTCAGAATCTTTTTTAAACTTTACTATTATTACTGTTTTTTTTATTTATTAATTCAAATTCTAAATTATATTTTGTCTTTATAATTTACAAATGATAATTATATTTTTAGGGTTTCTGAAATTAACTCAAAATTTGCATCTATTCATTTTAATGCCAAAAATAGAAATACCTATAGTAGGGAGGGATTACCCGAAAATATGTATACTCAATATTTAATAAAACTAAGGCTAAAGATTTAAATAGATTCTTTAAGTTATATAACAAGTTTGTGAAAAAATTAGAAAGTAAGCAAGAAAAAATTGAAAATTTAAAGAGTTACTGGTGTATTGATAAATCTTTTTAATAGTTCAATGAATTATTTGCTACAACAAAGGTGAATTTTCGAGATTGCTGAGGAATTAGAGTAGCCTTGATGGAATATGCAGGTGCTTAATGAATTAGGATGGAATAAACAATCTCAAATCAAGAGATTTTTGCTAGCGTAATGACATAAAACTATATGATACAGAATCTAATATACGCCAATACAGATACCTCACCTGAACAATTTAACAATTAAATTGGTCTAAGAATTACAATGCCAAATGGCAAGAGATAAAACAATCTCATATAATGGTGTTTCACATAAATTTATAACATCTTGAGTTATATTGAAAAATTACACTGATTTCACTAGAGGAATATTTGTATGATCGTGAAATGGATTAAATGAATTAAAAGGGAGGATTTTAATATTATGATCATTTTAGGGTCATCAATATCACAATTGTTATTGAACATTTACAATTATTGCTTTCTGAAAGTAGTGAAATACATAATATACTGTGTGATCGATTTTTTTTGGTAGATACAGATGTCATCGTTTAAAAACAAAATATACAAATATTCCTTATATACTCCATGTACTTATTAAAGTGCATTAATGGAGGTTATTAATTTGTAAAAAGAAATCTGGAGTTTTCAATAATTTATGAATACAAAAAGTAAGGGAATTAAAGTGTGATAATCGATCATATCATGAAAATAAATTGAGGTAAAGGCTCATGTTTTATAAAATATTTATAGAAACATATTTTTCATAATGCATAATTGCAATGACATTCAATATTTTAGCAGCTTAGAAACTCAAATATAAAATTGCTAAATAGATTTAGACTTTCAGTTAACATGGCAAAAATTTATGAAATTCTTCATATTTGATGATTATTAGTTGAAGGATGTTTAGATGAAATAAATAATAGAAAAACTGATTCATAGGAAAATGATTCTATAACAAGATAATTAAAATCAGCAATTAGAGGAACAGTTAATAATAAAGTTATTGATGATAAAAACCTTACTAGCAAGTTTATAATATATTTTATACACAAAATATAAATCCATAATCAGAATTCTTTACTTTTGGTGCCTTCAGCTATTTTTTCATAGGGCATGCCTTCACCATTTCAATGATAGGTAAAATCATTGGGTAAAATAAGTGAATATAATGGATATAGCTCTTAATTTTCGATGCTGGTCTTTTCCTCTCGGATTACTTAAGAATCTCTTTGAATCCAAAAGGATATCCTTATTTCTTGAAGATTCTAACAGAATCACACATGATCCGAGAAGTAGTCTACCTGTCTTAAAAAAACTAAATTAAAAACTAATTGAAAATAAAATAGATTAAAATTACGAGATAAATAATATATTATTAAGAAATCAAATTTTAATGAGATTAAATAATGTTACAATGTTATTTTAATATTTGATTTCATACCTAAAATACTTCTTTAAATTTTTCAAATTATTATATATCAATATTTAAAAATAGAATCATACTCTTCAAATCGAGCGAGCATCACCTAGTATTGCTCTTGGTACTATCACAAATAAAGTCCACATGCTTCACAGTGAACCTATCCAATCTATAACTAAGCCGAAAGATCAAGTCTTTTTAAGCACTCCATTAGTGACCATTCCCACAATGTGGTTTCCTAATCTTAATACTCCAATCTAAGAGTTTATCATATCAAAAGTTCAATCAAAAGTAGAAAACTCACTTTTAACATGATTAGTAATGTATTACAACTAATCTTCTCTTAATTCATTAGGTTTACTTGGTGTCTAGAATCTAAATTATCTTCTCTATACACTCTCTGACTATTCTTCTTGACTTATCTCTATTAATTTCTCAGTTATATTTCACCTTATTCTTATTTTACTAGCTATCCACCAAAAGTCTTATTCAATTTCCTGCTTCATTTTTTCTATTTAACCAATTAAGAATCCGATAGTCTCCAATTATTTGATGACCCAAATTTCAGTTTTTGGTGCTTGATATTTTGGTTTCATTTTGATTGCAAATTAAAAATTTCGATTATGTGTTTAAAAAGAAATATTAAAAGTAATCGATGAAAATTCTATAATGAAATTAAAAAAGTGATAAGATTATGGAATACTTCTATGTTCTTAAGATAATCTTAGATATTGACTTATAACTTAATTTATAAATAATATTTAACAAGAAAAGCTTGAGTTCCAAAAAATAAAGAAGATTGTTCATCTTTTATGATTTGTATATCTTTAAAAATTGATTTCTATTGTAAAAAAAATATACATTTAATTATGTTATTATTATGTATTTAAATATATAATCCTAGTTGATAATATTGGGTTATTACTAAAATAAATTATGATATTATGTTTTAATTATAATTATCATTTCATTTTATCAAAGTTTAAAATATTGAAAACTTCAAATTATTTTACATTCTGTTATTTCTTTTGATAAAATTACTAAAAGTCTCTGTATAGTTTAATTCCAAGTTTAATTAGTGGACCTAACAGGCCAAGAATCAAAAGTCCAATTTAACCAAAACCTATTAAAATTTATAAATCATTTGTCAAATAGTTTTAAAAATCAGAACAATAGATTAAACTTGTCAATGTAAAAAGCATTACTGGAGCTTCCATCCAAATTAATCCAATTAATTCTATTTTTGGAATATTTTATTATATCATGAATAGGAATCCTATATATACAAAAATAAGCAAAGTTATCATTGTACATTAAAATATATCACTTTCTTGTATATCAATTAATATTAAGATGAATAATAGTTTTTTTAATTAGCAAATACCTTCATGCTATTCAATTCTGAGTATAGAAAAATCAAGATTTTTATTTAATCCTTTAAAATGTTAACATAACAATGATATGAACACACTTAAAACTAAAAAACAAATACATTAAGATATTATAGATCGATATCCTTGTTAATTATTTGATGTTATAAATAGGAGTACTTTAAAAAGTAAATCCCAAGAGTTTGCATAAAATAGCTGTCTAAATCCTTTTATAGTATATAGTTTTCTTAGATTGATTATTTTTTTATTAAATTTATAAAATTTAATTCCTAACTTTTCTAAAAATTTGGATTTACTTGAGCTAATAAAATAAAAAAATTTAGAAGTAAAACAATAATTGTTAAAGAATCTTGGATAAAATAAACAAATTATATACAAGAAAACAATTAAACTAATTTAGGATAGCTAACTCTAAATATTTATGAGTAGATCAGCATTAATTTAATATTCTTAAAGTTTACCTATGCTTTCAATAAAATTATCTTAAATTATAGTATGAAAAACATCTTTTATTTTAAAGGTTATTAGAATAGGATTAACTGTTACAATATCAGATGAATGAAAATATATTTATAGATTTTAAGGGTAAACTACATTTACAAATTTTAAATATGATTAAAATTGTAAAGTGTCAAAAATTTCTAAACTCTATTATGGATCTCCAAAGAATAACATTAGTACACTAATAGATCCTAAACCTATTATTAAGGCACTTCCAAGGTCTTAAAATTTATTTGCAACATTATATAAATCCTTACTTAATACTTTAGGTTGTTAAAGTAAAATTGTTTATTTAGAGAGATCTACTGCCATATTATTATTATCAGTTAAAGAGGAATCGAATGAAACTGATAAATTTGGTAAAAATGTAATCGACTCCAAATTTAATATATCAAATTTAAATATTGCCATGATAAACTAAGTTTCATAAATATTCACTACTAGATTTATAATTACTTAATATTAATCTTAACTTAATTGTATATCTCAATTAATATTAATTAAGTAAAATTGAATTTTTAAATCTATTTCATTTAATTTGTAAACTACAATTAAACATATTAATGATCATATATTTGATTTAAATAAATTAAAGAAAATTTAGTGATTAAATAACCAATATTAGGTTATTCCAAATTACAATCTCACATTTGCTTGAACAACCATCTTTTCTTTATTTCCATCATCACATTATTCTGTTTTAAATTGATTTCCATCACCAAATTATATTTTAATATCTTTATTCTAAATCATCATTTTATTAAATCAATATTTTTTAACATCCTTCTACTAATATTCATTTCCGTCTACACATTCTTAGCAGTTACCCTTAGAACAATTAATTTCACATTAAAACATAAATTAATAGCAACCATCATATTAAATATCATTAAAATCTTCACAATTTTCTAATCCTTACTCAATAATTTCGTCTCCACATATTGGTTTACATTTATTATACTCATCCATTTCAAAATTGATTTCACAAAATAAACCTAGATTAGAAGTAGAACAT